ACCGATCGGATCTGAACCAGCCAGAATGAACCGGACCGGATCTGAACCAGGCGGAATGGACCAATCGGATCTGAACCAGCTAGAATGGACCTGACCAGATCCTGAAAATTCAATCCATAAAATGCTGCAGCTGCCAGTGCCCGGCCTTCATCGCAGTTGGCGGCGGGCGGCGCCCCTCGGTCGCAGCGTGCTGCAGTTTTCCACCTCACGCTGAGCTCATTGATCTGGTGTGCTGATATGGCCGAGCTCATCGCCAGCCAATACTGAAGCGGAGGTAGTTGAAGGTTAGCGTGAGAGCGCTGATAGGCGAACCTCTGTCTGTCAAGCTGTCATGAAAGGCGCGCATGGCCAATGATATCATTGGCCATCATCGGCTGTGGCCAGATAGGCATGGGTGTGCTTTTGGGCGCCTGGCACCCTTCTCCCAGCGTATTTCATCTTATGCAGGTATATATTACCTGGCCCTTGCAAAATAAGCCACTGAAGACTGTATTCAACAGCACTACAACCTCCCGATATCATGAAACGGTAAAATCGCGCTAGCTCAGCATGTGTGGCCCACAGTCTTTAAAAATGTTATCAGCCATCATACCATCACAAACAAATGCTGCAGTACTCGTACTATTAGTTAAGTCAAGCGTCCAGCTTAAGTGGATACACCGCCTTTTTGCACTTCTCGCTTATTATTAGGTCAGCCCGTACGCTTTGATCAGTAATAAGTTTCTGGAATTCTTCTGAATAGCTCGGCATATCTATTTGAAGTAGGCGCTCCTGCGGGAAAAATCTCATTAGGCTCCCTGCCCACCACTATAAAAGTGAAAAAAATCATTTATCTTGCTTTTTTCATGTATATTCTGTAATGTGTGCAACACCCTAAATTGTCCAAATGTTTGCATAATGAATGCTCCGAATGCTTGAAGCATTCCGTTTAGATAAAAATGTATGTGAACATGAAGCCTTTATCCTGCGAACTCCACAAGACTTTGTAGTATGGTTTTGATACCCCCCCCCCCCCCGCCCTGTGGCATTCACTACAGTAGCTCTTTTTGAAGCGTACTTCGGCTGCGGGAAACGGAGAAGCACATGACCTAAAGTGACACACTGGTTTAAACTCAAACCAATGCGCTTTTCGGTAACTGGTCCTTGCCATCTGTTGCACCTATCACAAACATTCACTTGTACTGATGTCATTCATCAACAGCTGACAGTGCCCCCCCCCCCCCCCCCCCGGCAGATTCTGCCGTTATCGTCCGTAGGGAAGAACATAGTGCTGTTACAAAGCACTGCCAATGTATTTGTTATGTCTTGCACTGAAAAAGTTTTTACACCCAGGAGTCACACTCGACCACCGAATTCGTGGGCTCAAAGCTCCTCCGAGGTATCACATTTCGAAAAAGGGGTCGATGTGTTACCGTGCAATCATGCAGGAGTCAGTTTTCTGCGTCGCCGCAGACGCGAGAGTCACTTTCGGGTGTACGAATGTTACAACGAGCACCATGTGGGGTGTCACGTAATTGACCCCCTGTGGGGGTGTCGTCAACCTCCAAGCTATCAATTGCATACTCTCATAAGTTTTTCTCTTCCCCCAACATCCGGGAACTTGCGAAGAGCGGGAAGCTGACCACCCGACATTGATAGCAACACTTTTATAGGGGGCTTGACATCCTCACTAGGAGTTGCCTGGCACATACCACAGGCATCTCTGTCGTCATTACGCTTTTTTCTTTGCCATTCGTGCTTCAGCGAGCAGGTCAGGGAGCTCAAGACATCCCTGGATAAGAGCATTTACTTGTTCATTCTTGCCTGTGCTACGGAAAGTTCGTGGGATGACGAATATCCAGAATGCCCATCCATGTGCTTAAGCAAAGCAGTCTGAAATGTCTTCTTGTCTGGCCGCAATCACGCACCATCGACAGCTTTCCTATGTGAACTGGTGTGCACATTTTTGCATGTTAGGCCCACCGCACCAGATAGGCATGATATCATAAAATTGCCAACGTGTGGCATTGCCAATGGTTTATTCCAAGATGCCAAGTGATTATGTGCTACTGCCATGATTATCATCCACAATTCTTTACATGCTGAGGGCATTGTGCAGCGATGCAGCTAAGGGGGGAGCAGTTCCTTCCCCTAGGCCCACATTATTGCAGCATAGACAGATTCAGGCAGAAATTATAAAGTTGCTGTCCAGGCCATTTATGGATAGTTGCATTCTCACCACCATGCCGCTTTGGCAATCTTGGCTGTACCCCCTGCAACTGCTCTTGTGCAGGAAAGCTTTTATGAGCAGACAACAGGCAAGAATTGTAAGTGCTTCCGAAAATAGTGCTCCAGTTTAGAGGAAGGTACCTGCCACACATTGGCAATTTTATAGAAATTCCCACCTTGTTTTAGGACCCAAGTGTCGGATTGTGTCAGGAACCACCACAATGCCAATTCTGGAGGAACACATGTCATTGTGAGGTAACATATTCACGCAATTTTCACCAATTTTTGATCCACCAGACATGTTTACATTGCTGGCTGGGCTTGATTAAATGTACTTACACAATTAAGATGAACTTTTTAACAGAGTTAATGACTTGAATCTGCATCTTTATCTTAACTTTATTACATCTGCCCTTTAAGAATCAATTCACTTCTGATTCACAACAAGGTTGAGATTTAGGCATACTTAGCCATGGTACAACTACCTAAGGCACCTTGAATTGCGTACAGGTCTGTGTCTTACACAAAGTCTAGCATTTTAATTGTGTATGCGACATGTTTGTGACACACCATTTACATGCAACCATAAAGCCTACACTAACTTTGCGCAGTCCCATGTCCCTGAGAACTCCTGTTGTATAGCTATACATGGTGTCCGTCTAAAAAAAAAACGTCCGTCGATGACTAGTATAGGGTAACAACAAAGACCATGGCCACATCTACCCCATATTCCTTTGGTGAGCCTGAAGATCTGATATATTTCCCAATCATGTTTAAGATACGTTCATTGAAGAACGTTACAATTTACCATTTTTACTTGTGGCCATATCAGGAGAAGACAGCAAATGGTATCAAACAACATTATATGTAATGATGAAACGAGTGATGTCCTTAAACCTGAACTGCTATTATGTGCATGAGCGCACACGAGGAAAAAGTGTATGGCAATTTACAGCACTCGACCTGTTTGTAAATCCCCGTCACCAGGCATTGATGTTTACATGCTGACTATGCTTAATGGAATCGTGTCTTTCCATAATCTCACCAGCTGTGTATGATGTCACTGACCAGCTATTCTACCTTTTATATCCGTCTTGTATGAATTTCACGTTGTCCCTGGAGTATTAGTATTGAACAACCATGGTAGTGTTTGCTCTAAAAATATGCCTCGGGCAGTCAGTTTCGGCTATTTTCAGTTCTCTATCGGTTATTAACCCGATAGATGTCAGTCCCAACCAATTGGCCAATCTCCGTGCGGTAAGCCCATTTCGGTTCGGTCCACCCCGGTCTCGCTGTGCCTCGCGCTGTTGACATCTGTCGCTGGGACGTGTTCAAGGGGCCCTTTATATTTTTCTGTATTACCATATATAGCTCCTGATATACATAAGAAATGGCGTGATGTGCTTTAGTAGAGCTCTTCCTCACCTTTTCAGAAGCACCTGGCTGCGCCCATGACCTATCATGCCGATTTTGCCCTCTGCCCAGTCGACACCAGTCGTATTGTCTTCAATCCACTTAATTCCTTTCTAGTGCACTTGAGTCCTCAAGGGTCCCCCACACGGTCTTCCGCAGCCCATTCCACCCTGGTCCAATCTGATCTGGTCCAGTCCAAAGCAGAGACTTACGCGTAATTTCATAATCAGCTAGAGTACAGTTCAAAAATGTTCACGAAAAACCGAATTGAGCGCGCCCCAGACGTGCTAGAATGACGGTGGAAATCCTGGAATGTCATGAAAAGCATCGCATTTTGCCGCTTTTTATTTCAACGTCTATACATGGAATTTCTAACACGCGCCCAGGTGGACGGTTGAATACGACGCGCTTGCGTAGGAGTCGACGCGCTTGTGTGGGACTTTGACCCCCTGATGTATCAAAATTTAGAAAGTTAGGCAACAAATTCGCAGAGCATATATGCCTGAGTGTGAGCTAACTTGTGTTGAAGTACAAAATTTCTAGGTCATGATTTCTGGGTCAAATTAGGTCAAACAGGATTAGATTCCAGATGTGTGTGCAACGTGCCCTCAGACCTCCTCATGCAATCGCATTGAACTTAGAACCTGTTCTAAGCAAAAGGCCACCCGTGTTTATTTAAGTTCAGTGATCTTGTTTGACATTAGGAAGGTCATGATCACCAGAACAATACAAAATTGTTTTGATGCTTGCAGCTGAATAATCGTCAATGATCTTGCTAGGTGGCGTGTTCCTAAAAACGAGGTGTTCGCCTGGATCACTTTAGGTCATTTATTGGTTCATTTACCCTAGCCTATAACAGGTCCTTGGAAGATGTCTCACGTGGTCCCTGCTATAAGTAAATTTGAAATAAGCACCAGAAACTACTCCGCGCAGCAAAATCTCGAGTAACAAAGCAGACTGATGCTAACCTCGGTATGATCATGATCCTTGGTCAAGTAAATGCATTGCAATTGTAAATTAAATTGTCATATTGCCACAGAAACTATCTCACAAATGTATTGCCTCATCTAACACTCCGATGTCGCATTAGAGTGGACGATTCTTTAGAAATTGTGTTCTTTGACAGCCACGGCCTGATTTGACCCACCATAAAGCAGCAACCTTATAAAGTGCGTCTAATTTTGTATGATGGGATCCACTAATCAGTTGCCTACAGCTCTGAAATGTTTGGTGCCGCTACACCACGCCGTTTGAAACTTATGCTGTAAAGACCTTCGGGAGGGGGGGGGGAGGGGCACGTCGATCGCTGAATTTGAGGTGATCGCTGAAGCCTGTGGAGCGCTGAATAGACCACGGCGCAGCTGCGCCGGCTCGCATACATGACAGTCTACTACCATTGGTTCATACCGCACGCGGCCACCATCATGAAGCCACTGCACAAGCTACTGAGCTTAGGCCCCGGGGGCAAGAAGAGCCCAGGACGACCGGTGCCATGGGTAGGCGACGCCGTGGCCGCCTTCCAGTGTACAAAGGACGCGCTAGCCGACGCCAGCCGTCTGCCGCATCCGGTGCCCGACGCCCCGCTCAGCGTGCAAGTAGACGCCTTTAGCATCGGCATCGGTACAGTGTTGCAGCAATACGTCCGTGGCACATGACAGCCGCTGGCGCTCTACTCGCGCCAGCCGTCACCGACAGGGATGTGTTACAGCACGTTCGGCCGTGCTGTGGAAGGCCATTCCCTCATCGTGAACACGGACCACAAGTCCCTGATTTACGCGGTCGGGACGTGCTCAGCCCGCCACTCACCGAGAGAGACGCACCACCTACATTTCATCGTCCAATTCACCACGGACGTGCACTTCGTCCGCGGCCAGAACAACGTCGCCGCCGACGCGCTGTCGCGTACGGTGTCGATGCCCTCGCTGCCCCAGCCAGCACTGGACGATTTCAGCGTCATGGCCGACGCTCAGCGCGAGGACCCGATCCTGGCAGCCTTCCCCCAGTCCCAGGACTCGCTGACTCTCCGCGACGCCGTTCTTGCCAACGGCCATACCTTTCTGACGGACAAGTCGACGGTTGCATCCCGGTCGTGGGTACCGTCTCCCCTGCTCCGACACGTGGTTCGGCTGCTGCACATCCTGGCACACCCGGACGTCCCCGCCACCACCGAGGTGATGACGCGTCGGTTCGTGAGGCCCAACATGAAGCGAAACATCCGCGTATGGACCCAGGCTTGCATCCGCTGCCAGCGGACCAAGGCCCTCCAACACACCGAGTCACCGGTGGCCCTGTTCGACGCGCCTGGTGAGCGGTTCGGCACGGTGCATGTGGGCATCGTCGGGCCGCTGCTGCCGTCCGACGGCTATACACACCTCCCCACGTGCGTGGACCGGTCCACTCGCCGGGTTAAAGTGATCCCCCTGCGTGACACGTGCACCCCCGCCGACGAACGCGCCTTCGTCGGTGGCTGGATCGCTCGGTTCGGTGTCCCCACACAGGTCACGACAAACTGTGGCATTCAGGCCGAGTTGGCCCTATTGGCTGAGCTATCGTGCTTCCTGGGATGCAAGCGGCGCCGCACCACCAGCTACCACCCGCAAGCAAACGGGCTCGTCGAACGCATGCACCGACAGCTCAAGACGGCGCTACCAGTGAACGGACAGGCCACATGGACCGACGTGCTGCCTCTCATCATGCTGGGGATGCGGTCTGCCGTCAAGACCGACCTGGGCTGCGCGGCCGCAGACATGGTCTACGGCGCATCGCCCCGGCTGCCGCGCGAATTCTTCATGGCCCCGTCAAGGGAGGTCGCCCCGACACCAGCGTCCTACGCCGCCGACCTCTGTCGCGCCATGCAGCAGCTGCGCGCCGTCCCACCCCGGGCCGCTTGCTCGCCGTCTCATGTCCCGAGCGCTCCGCACGACGCCAAGCACGTATTCCTACGCCGCGACGCCACGAAGCCGCCTCTGGGCTGCGGGTGCGACGAGCCGTTCCGGGTCACATGGCCAAGACGATGACCCTAGCCCGCGGCTCCCGCCGAGACGTGGTCTCGGTCGACCGCGTCAAGCCCGCAAGCCCCGACCCAGACGCCCGGCCGGTGGGTACGGGGCCCGCTCACGTCCAACAGCCGCGGCCGCTGCCTCTGCTCGGACCGGGTTCGCTGCTGTCGGCACCGGATCCGTCCCGGCCACAAGCACCGACCGCTCCGCCGGCAGCGCCACCGAGTCGGCCGCCGGTCGCGCCTCCGTGCCAGTCGCTGGCCACGCCTGCGGGTCGGCTGGCAGCAGCGCCAGGCCCGCCCCGCCCGATTCTGCGGACCATCTCCGGCCGTACCGTGCGCCGGCCCCTGCGCTACCGTGTTAGCTTTGTTCCCTGGTACGGCTCCGGCCTATGTGTCAAGTGCCTGTCGTCTCTGGCATCCTCCTTACGACTGGGCGATTCCGCCGGTCCATGGGTGGCCGGTCCGGGCCCTCGAGGTCAGTCGTCGCCTGGACGTGGAAGGGAGTGCCCGGCGGCCCGGCCCACTCTGGCGGCAGCATTGAAAACATAATATATATATATATATATATATATATATATATACATACATTGAACTGAAGCTCCTACACCCTCACCATGGCGCATGTCAACGCATTAATTATAGACCTGACCATCCACATAGATAGTGCTGCACTGTTTCAGCTCCGGCACGGTATACGTGTGCCGTTCAATGTCGCGCGGATCAAATTTGCTCCTTCATGTCGCGTTTCTGATAATGTGGAATCGATTTCAGAGACCATCAATTTCAACAGCTCACGCCACCGTGAACTGTTCTTTGCCGGCTCAGGACCACACCATCTTCGTTGCCGGGATGGCACTGGACGACTTTTTGTCGGTGGTGCCTGTCAAAGACATCGGCTTCCACCTGGATACATGCCAAAGTACACCAGTCGGACTGATCTACCCCATGTGTCACCTAGGGTGACTGCCCACGCAGTGCATGGTGTGTGTACGGTGTGTGTAGTGAACGGTGTGCCCGCACAGTGTACGAGACACTTGCAGTAAACGATGTCGTCTAAATATGTTTGCAGTGAAGTATGGCTGAATACATTACATTTTTTTTTATTGGGCATTAATTCAGAAGCGTGCGCGTGCCGAGGCCATCAAGTCAAATACCATGACAATTCTCTGCGGCGTTAGGTGTCCAACGTGGTTATGTCGAGTGAGTGCGAAGTGGCAGCGATTTCGATAGAAAATAATTAATTTGTTAAGGAGTCTACGGCCATTTCGTATTTTGATACGCGGCATGCTCCGAGTTCGCAATGGTTTACTGTTCGATAGAATTGGTGCGTGGTGTTTGCCTCGGACCACCGCAGGCTGCATGATGTTGGCAAATTGCTGCTAAACTCATTACTAATTGCTGCTAAATCACGAACAGCCGAGCACAGCCTGGATTGGTGGCGCCCGGCAGGGCTGGTATGACTCCCTGACACTCATCTCTGATTATGTGACTTCCCAATTCGTCCTGCACGCATGGAGAAAATGGTCATATGGCCGATTATTTACCAATTACAATTCCCGAAATTGACGACCAAACCCTCTATCCGGCATCATGACTCCTTAAGCCGAGCGAATCCTAACGCGGACTCCCGTGAGGGATGTCACATGCACTGTCAGGGTGGTCATTTGGGGAGTAACAAGAGAGAATTGACTGCCCTGGGAAGCGTCCTGGCTCCCGACGAAGGTGTCATGTGGGGAGTCAAATGTAAATGAAAGACATCATTGGGGAGTACGCACTACCGTAGGGGCGGACTTTTTGACATATCGTGTAACTCCCTACAAGGGTGTCAAAACTTTTTTCAGTGTGGTGATGCTGCAGTGGCACTACTTAGTGCTGTTATCGAAAGTAACTGGTCCTGAGGCTCCACTTCAGTGTGTTTTTGAAATATGTCTCAAACGTGGTACATCCTTCTAACAGCAATTCGGAATGGGATAATTTCACTTCGGATTGGGCATTACACTGCAGCATTGTCCTGCCGAGTTTTTTATCGGGAGCGTAGTACACATTGAGGAAAGTTCGTTAAAAGCAATGTCCCACATTTAAAGATATTGGAGACATCGGTTAGGTGAAACAAGCTCACTTGTAACAGTGTATATACATACTTTTAAGTGGAAAAGATTGCTCTGACAACACATTTTCTCTTCTCACGACATATGCTGCTGAACACGTTGTTGTTTGATTGCGTTATAGTACCTTGCACGGCGTTGATCAAGAGCCAGTTGATAGCCATCATATCTAAACATCCTGCTTATGAACGCCAGATATGACAGACTCGACGATTATATTTTTGTACGCCTTGATCGCCGCATAGCCAATGGAATGGCAAGATTATAATGGTATTCTTATGACGTCCTTGGTGTTTGGGTGGCCTTGAGGTGGTCTACATGAAATAACCTGTTCATCTATGCAGTGTGCAGCTCAGAAACTAGAGGAATTTGGGCCTTGAAAAAGGCAGAACTGTGGACTGCATCGAATGATCTTTAAGATGGCTACTTCAATTCAAAACTCCACACAAATGTGGAACACCCCCATTAAGTTGGGCGACTCATAATCGTTGTCATTTACTGATCCACGCAGTGACTGACATGAATCTAGTCAATTGCGCCTATGGTGGTTTGTGAGCGTCCGCAAAAAGGTCTCGGAGAATTGTGCGGTCAATGAATTACTAAAAAAGCAGATTCATGAAAACATAAAAATGTGACGTAACACAAAAACGTAACATCCAAAAATGGTTCCATATGACAAAAGCACTAACACGTAACAAGCATACTAAGAGAGTGACGACGTCAAACTGTAAGTACATTTTGTCTGTTCGCAGGAACCTGGGGGGCTCCACGCTCCAAGGCGATACCGCTGCGAACGTGACAGCTCGCTGAGGGCCTGTCAATCGACATGTCGGAGCATCCCAGCCGCCACGGCACAAGCCTCTGTTTGCGACGCCTGGGTACGTCAAACAACCATTGCACTGCATCATTAGCCGACCATAAAGGTCACCGTCTTTTGGATTAGGTGCACGTGACACTGCACGGCTCTACCCAAAATTAATAGGAAGTAAAGAACATGTGAGAAAATGCGTACTTGAACAGCGAACTTTAGAGCGTCGAGCTTATTGCGTCGTCTGACCGCTAAGACACTATGAATAGACGGGACTCTTACGTCTGGCGCTGGTCGACGAGAACCCCGAGTATTTTGATGGTTTGGAAAAAAATTCAGGTTGAGTAGCGTATTGTGAAAATATTTCGTCTTACTGGGGACTATTTCCTTCATATCATAGTAAAGTATATCTTGTTAGGATTAATTTTAAATTTCTCGGTCTGGAAGCAATTGAAAAGGCTGAGAATGGGCTTGCACCTTGAGATGAAGCACGTCAATCACAAGAGGTTGGTAATGGTCGAGAAGCTAGGTGTCATCAGTGTAGAGCAGCAGGTGACCATGGTAAAGGAGAAGGACAGGTTGTTGATAAAGACCATGAAGCGAATTGGTCCGATGATGGCGGACCCTCGGGCTGTTACTGAGTCAAGGAAGAGGGGTAGAAGGGCCGTCACTCACCGTCCGCCCACGGTTGTGAAGGTAGTTATGGAACCATGTTGAATGCACCCCGTGCCACTCTAGCTTGTTCAGGACATTGCGGTCGACGCTGTCAAACGCTTCATTCAAATGTAGTGTCGTAAACAATACGACCTGACCCTTGTCAACATTTGTTTATATTCAGTGGACAGCGTCAGCACGGCATCCTCTACGGAATGACACGGTCGACAAGCGTGCAGTAAAGGTGACTGTAGCTAATGACAGCTAATCTAGGACATGATTTGAAGATGAAACGCCTTTTGCGATTCTTAAGTACATTGGAAAGATCGAATCCTGGCAAAAGTGGTTAGCGTCCAAATGTTACATGTATATATATATATATATATATATATATATATATATATATATATATATTTGAACTGGATTAAGCCAAGCTTCTGCCAGGCTATGATTAACACCGAGGAAACGATGGAGCAGTTGATGACGTCAACTGCTCGCAGATGAAACCGCCGAAAGGAAAACACTCCGCCACATCATCTCCACACGATGTACACCGCCCACACCAACCGTCCGGAAGGACCTTATACGTCTGGTGGCCTTGGAGAGCTCGGGCTAGGTGGCGGGGCCGTAATAGCGCGTAGGTGCTCACATGAGGCGATGGAGGTCCATGCTACCTCGAGGCGACGCGCGGGCCGACCGACGCGAAGTGGCGTCGATCTTTCTGCCCGGTTGGTCACGTCGCTTCAGCCTGAGACAGCGAACCTGCCGGTCTGAAAGCCAAGCTCTTCATCCGGCATTCCCGAAAAAGCAGTTTTTGCCCTTCCCGGTAGGTCAGTTGACTTGCAATCGGAGGACTCCGATTCGAATCTTAGCAATTTCAAGATTACTTGCGTAGTGACAGACACACGCATGACTGAAAGCAAAACCACCGTCCAGTCCAAAATTGCATAAGTTGCTAAGTGCATTTGCGAAGAACATTATGCGTAAAGGTATGTGCATAACGAATATCAGTAGTAAATTCAAAGTTGCCGGCTGATTCTACTCGATTTTTTAGTTCTTTTTTTGTCAGAAACTGAAAATCGAGTACAGTCAGCAGGCAATTTTGAATCTATTACGAATATTTGTTTCGATAAAGACATGTAGCCGAAATATCACAACAAAATGGAGATCAATAAAAATATCCCTAAATAAAAAATAAGTTGACACCTGATTACTGCCGGGGAGTTAATCGGTGAAGCATTATTGCAACCAACACACCACACGAGGGCGGAATTCTGAGCAAACATCCAGCCGTACGTCTAATGCGTCGTTCCAATATTTCCGTAAACCTCAAACCCGGGTAAACATTGGGCGCCTTTCAGGGAAAGGTGAATAATAGATGTTAACTTTCGGGGGACGATGCGGATGAAGAATTCATGTTAAACAACTAGATGAGATAAATATCACATC